CTACAGATAGAGCTTCCACATGATCCAGCAATTCCACTCCTAGGTATTTATCCAAAGGACACAGAAACATCAATTCCAAAGAGCACCTGCACCCCTATGTTTATAGCAGCACTGTTTACGATAGGTAACCTATGGAAACAACCCAAATGCCCAAAAATAGGTGACTGGATCAAGAAGATGTGGTACATATACACAATGGAATATTACTCAGCAATCAAAAAAGATAAACTCATGCAATTTGCAGCAACATGGATGGAGCTGGAAGGGATCATGCTCAGCAAAATAAGCCAGAAAGAAGAAGAAAAATACCAGATGGTCTCACTCGTAGCAGGAATTTAGAAAACCTAAATAAGGGACCAGGAAAAAGACTAATTGCAATAACGTAAAATTCAAAATCAACAAACAAGCATAGACCAGAGACACACTGCAGTGGGGGATAGGGGGAGGAGAAGAGGGATTAGGGTCAGAAAAAGGGGGTGTGAATTGTACTGGGAATATAACGAAAATGAAAATGCATAGATTATGCAAAAATGAAAAGTGATGCTAGAATTATATAAAATAAAATAATTCATAAAAAAAGAAATACACATTTAAAAAAAAGTAAAGCCAACATAAGTGAACATCTCAATAAGTTTTATGAATTGCTTCAATTGCATATAACTACAACTAAGTCAATAAATTGACAAGGCCCGTACCCTAACAGGCCCCTTCTGCATACTAGACACTGGACTCCAGAGATTAAATTTTCTAACACTCAAGGATATAATATTTTCAACATAAGAATTGTTCAATGCTCTGAAAATGACTGGTTCTGATATTCAGATGCCCTGGTGACTCTTCCAGATTGTTCCTGAGCTGTGATGGTGACTAGGGGGGGGATGCAGGTTGGTGATGATTCCAGGAACCTGGATTCTCCCCCAGCTGTGCTTGGGGAACTGCCCTCTCCCCTGCCTCCCACTCACCACAGCACTTTTGCTGTCACTGGGATGAGGGTGTTTGTGGGCTGAGCAATTAGGAAGCACCAGGGAGGGAGAGCTGCGCCCCAGAGTTGGGTGTTGTGCACAGAGGCCCCTGGCCCCAGAAAGGTCCCACGTGTGACACTGACATCTTGACAGCAGGGAGTATGAGGCTGAGCGTGGACCTCAGGAGAATAAAGGGCCTGGCACCGCTGCTATGCCAGCCCCTGCCAGATCCCTGCTGCTCTGCTGCCCAGGTGAGTGTCCTGAGCCCTGCAGGTGCTGCCTTTGCCTTGGGAAAGGAGGCTTCTGGAGAGCGCTGCAGCCCAGGCATGGGGTGGGGTTAGGGGGGTCCTCTGCACTCAGGGGGAGGAAGGTGGCAGGACCATGGAGGAGAGCCCGCCTTTCCAGCTGCCCCAGAGTCATCTGCTCTCTCTGCAGCATGAGGAGCTGTCAGGAGATGTGTTTGCTGTGTGTGCCCGAACTGCCCCCTGCACTCAGATGAGGCAAACAAAGGGCTCAGAGGCTAAGGTGTTTCAGAGGTGTGGAAGCTCTTACTGTCTGTGGTCCCCAGCACCCCTGCAGCAGTGGGTGTTTATTGAAGTCGTGTGTGTCACTTCTGGTGTCCTTTTTGCTTTGCAGCATAGAATGCACATGTTTTCTTTATAAAGATTATGTTAATTCTCATGCTATCCTTTCCAGCCCCTACATAACCAACAGTACATTATTCTAGATTTGAAAAGCAGATGTGTGACAAATCACCACATCAATAGATGTTTTTTAGAACATGATCTTAATGCTGCTGGGTACTAACATAAGTCCTATATTTTTATCTATAGGCCAATTCAATTCACCCTCAAAATAGACCTATATATTGCAAAGTATCACCCATCTTTACAATGAGAATATTGTGCCTTAAAAGTTCAGATGCTTAATGGCATCCAGAGTGGAATTGGGAAGGGCAGGCATTGACCACAGAGAGATGGCTGCGAGCCTGTACTTGTGAACCCTGCAGGTATCTTTCTTCAATTTAATGATTCTTTAAAGCATCAGGTATAGGCTTATCCCTCCCCACCAATGAACAGAAAACCCTGACTCACCACATTCAAAAGAACATACATTTTTTATCCTGTTACTAGAAAAGCATTTGAAAACTTATTGAAAACTCGCCAACATAGCCCAGAAGAGGTGTTAATGCACGGGCTTTTGCATTCCATCATTGATGCTTTTCAGGGAAGCAAAGAAAATTCCATTTAAGAAGCTATGTTATTGGTGCTTCATAGAACACAGAGATAGCTGAGAAAATAGTAGTCACATGAGAAGCAGTGAGACCTGAAAATTTTCATAGCTTTAAGATTTTTTTTTTTTTTAGCTTTAAGATTCTTAAAGGACAGTCCATCTCATCACTGACTCAAAGGAGGTTTTGCAGCTCAGTCATCTAGTAGCTAAGTCATTCAGTTTTTACACTATGAACACACACCAACTCAAATATTCCTCCAGGTTGGTTTATGAACTCATCTCTGTGATGAACATGCAGCTGACGACCAGAATCATATGCTTCTTTTAGTAATTTATTCACAAGGTAGTTAAACATTTAATTGCCGGTACTGTGATGGTCACCCAGAAGCCAGACAGAAGGGGAACCACTCCCCAGGACTCCACGGCAGAACCAGGGAGGACACAGGTAAACAGGCTATGGGGGCAGGTCCAAGAAGCTCAGGAAGAGTCATCACATAAAATTCTAATTTGCTGTGTGGGGGGACAGGAGTTAGCTCTGTAATGGGGATGGCTGGGGGCAAGAGCAGCTCAGCATCAAGAGTTTATACATTTGGACTATAAAACCAGCTAGTGGTTACCTTAAGGAAAGATGGAAGGAGGGTGGCTAAATTGGAAAAAAAGGGGACATGGTACGGTTAAGGAAAGTTTTGAACTTTTAGGGGAAACCTTACTGTAGTATATATATATATATATATATATATATATATATATATATATATGCTGATTGTTTTTCAACAAAGAACTCCTGCCTTATATAATGTTATAATGTAACATTACTCAAATAAGCATAAATAAAAAATTTTAAAGAAATGCAAAAAAAAGAGTTTATACAGATTTTAGGGGGACAGTTGAAGATAATAAAGATATAAGTAAGAAGAAGAGGAAGCCAAACTGCAGAGGAAAATATATTTAGGTGCATGAATGACAGGTGAAGCCACATATGGTGTATAGGAGGTTTCCAGGGTGCTTCTATGATACAGAAGGAGAAGGAACAGAGGAAGCAAAGCGAATTTGCAAAGTGGTTAAAATCACAATAGCAGATAATAAAGTGCTTGACCTACAGGGTGGGGTTTTTTAGATTGAAAAGAGTCACTAGATTAGAAAAAGAAATTAAGTAAAACCAGTTTGAGTCTATGGAATGAAATGCTGGGATGGGGAATCCTTTTCTGCTGACTTGTTGGGAAGTGCTGGCAGGAGAAGGAGAGAATGAGACTAGGAAAGACAGAAGAAAACATCACTTCACTCTGCTCCAAAGCCAGGGGAGATCAGGAATGCAGATTTACCACAGAGATAGAGCCTCCTGCCTGCAGGGGCACTTTCCTACCCCTTTGCCAGGAGAGGGAAGTCACATAAGCTCCTCTGTGAAACTACTGTCATTTAGCAAAGCACAATATTCTTTGGAGAAAACACAACTTATTTAAGCCACACATGCAAAGTGTCTGAGGAATGAGTGTGTGGACTATAAAGGGGTGGTGGGTGGGCACCAGCACCATCCATTACTGCCAGGCAATTTGCCAGGTGTGGGTAGTGAGGGAAAAGGAGGCAGCTGAGTTGAGAGCATTATAGCTCAGAGGCCCACTGGGTGGTACTGTGCCGCAGACTTGCACAGCAGTAGAAGATGAGGCCGTGTCAGGGTTGAGAGACTGCGCAGGGTGGTCAGGGATTCGGTTAAAGAAATGACAAACAGACACACTTCAAGAGGGAAAATCTGAGTGTAATTTAATTTGAGTTGGTGACCAGTATATATATGTTTTCTAAAAGCATAGGAATGGCGAACATCAGTGAAGAAATCAGCTTGCTTATAGGTTTAGCTTATCATTGACAGAGCAGTGATTTACATCTGGACCCAGGCGCATTCCTAAGTAGTTAGGCTATTAATTTTTCTTTTTATTTTATGTGATTACTTTTTGTTTAAACTACTCACTACCACTAAATTACTATTAATTAGCACGGGTGAATTTTACTTTTCACAATGTAATATTTTTATCATTAAGATTAATGCTAACAAGGCTAAGCATACAACAGAGAAATTATTAAGCTAACAGTTCTATTAATACACAGAGTTTAGTAACGTTTCATTTGAATCAGCCTAGTTATTAGATTTCGTATGTTCTTTTTTAATCGGCAAACCAATGACCTTTTTTGACAGAGAAAGAGAAAAGATTTTAGAAAGAGAAAAGATTAGAGACAGTTGTATTAGAATGACGTTTCTGGGTCTAGAGAAGGTGAGATAAGTTTCCGTGCAGACAGCATTCCTGTAGTGGCTCCTGGTGGTCGTTATCTTTCAACAGGCTTCCGTCTTATCTATGTCTTCAGGGAGTTTGCTGTTCTCCCCCTGCGCGCTGGTTGCCCAGCCGGACCTAGGGACCTTGGCGCAAGCCATTAGCCCTAAGGGTCACTGCAGGGGGAGGTGCAGCAGTACTGCCCTGGCTAAGCTATTGTCAGGGAGGAATAAGTCATGCAAGCTTCAGGCATGAGGGACACAGAGAAGGCCCTTTGGAAAGGTGGGCAGATTCACTGGTGTGGCCTTTATGGGAGATGTTTAATTGTCATTATCACTGTTGGGGTCAACTGAAGCAGCAGGAAAAGAATAATAAAGAGCAAGAGTGAGGTGAGAGCCACGCCAGGACAGAACCACGCTCATGTATTTCCTTCAGGTTGAGACTATTTGTGTCACTAGAGCAGACAGGAAGCCACAGACCTCAAACATGTCATTCTGACTTACTTTTATCTCAAACTTTCTCCTTGTTCTGTTCCTGAAGTCAGATGACTTGGACCTTCATCCAGGGATTACTCTTCCTTTGTTTTCTTGGACATGGAATTGTGGGCAACGTCCTTATCCTAGGGGGATATTTATATGCTTTTATCATGGGGCCCGAGAGGAAATCTATTGACCTGATCCTCATCCACTTGGCATTTGCTAATATAGTCATTGTTTGTACCACGGGAAACAGAGATTTAAGCAAATTATTTCATCTGGGAATTGTCCTAGGTGATGCTGGTTGCAAGATTATGATTTATCTGGGGAGGGTGGCCCGGGGCCTCTCCATCTGCACCACCTGTCTCCTCAGCGTGGTCCAGGCCATCACCATCAGTCCCAGGACCACCTCCTGGAGAAAGCTCAAGCCAAGGTCTGCATGGCAAGTGCTTCCCTGTCTCCTGCTCTCCTGGGTCTTCAATTTCCTGATCAGCTCTAACCTGCTCTTCTACATCACAGCAGTCCAGAGCCCCAACAGCTCTGCACTTAGACCTGATTTTGGACATTGTGTTATGCTTCCATCTGAGCAAATAGTGAGGTTGCTTTTCCTCACTCTGATGACTCTGCGGGATGTTGTCTTTCAGAGTCTGATGGGCTGGAGCAGCGGGTACATGGCCTTTCGCCTGTACCAGCATCATAAGTGTGTCCTTTATCTTCAGGCCTCCAGGCTACAAGGAACTCCCAGTCCAGAGATGAGAGCTACCCAGAGTGTCCTCATGCTCATGACCTGCTTCCTTTTCTTTCATTGGGCAGATTTCATTTTCTCCTTCTACATTGGCTCCTTCTTGACAAAGAGCGACATCATTTACTGTATTAAAATGGTTCTAACTTTTGGTTATGCCAGTCTTAGCCCCTTAGTGCTGCTGAGCAGGGATATCCACGTGGCTAAATGCTGGTGAGCTCAATGAAAACAGGGGGCGCTTTTACATCCATGCCTCCAGGGAAGCCTGGAATGTTACTTTGAGGAGTTCCTTCCCCTCCATTTATCTAATATCAAACTGTTCAAGGTTTACAAGAACAGATTTTTTTTTTCTTGTCTTAAGAGTTCTGGAATGAGTCAATCCTAAACTGTTACTGGAGTAAGTGATGAAGACAGACTCTTTCCTGCTGCCATTCAACCCTCCCTAACACATGGCTGTGGTGTTCTTGTTGAAGCTAGAATATGTTGGTTTTTATTTGATAGAACGATTTTGAAATATGAGTACCTTGCTCATATACTTGTATTTTCTTATCAATGGAATGGGGAGTCAAAGTTCATTTTCAAAATGCTGTCTGCAGAGTTGGGGTAAGACCATGCAGGAGAGGGAGAGAGCCAGGATTGCTGAACATACTCTGTTTTACAATTTTGGCTGTAAAATCCTTTGCAAATTGTATATATTATTTAAAAATTAAAAACTTCACACTATCAAAATGTAAAACAAGTGGAAAGAAAAAAGTTGCAATTTTATATTAATTGCTGGCAAAATCACACAAAGAATCATTGCAAATTACTAAGCACAACATTTTCTACTGCTTTTGTTTTTGTTTTTCATTTTTTATCGTTTATTTGAAAAGAAAAGAAAAACCTCACCAAGCCCTCCCCTTAGAGTGGAGAATTGAGAGATGACAATGTGCAGATTACTACTTATTTTTGGGATTTTGCAAAATGGTGATATTCTAAAGCTACCACTTCTCATGTGTTAGCTGCATGGCTTCCAGAGAGACACTTGCTCATCAAGGGTTTGATGGTCCTGAATAACAGTGCGCACCAAAGCAGTGCTGACATGAACTCATTTCCAGATGTCTCCTGTGCTACCTGGACAGGACCTCAGTGTCTCTGACAGTTTGCCCATCGTCAGGTACAGCAAGGTTCCCCAGAGAATCCAGGTTTCCTGCCCTACCCCTGGCCTGCACCACTCTTCCAGATCCAGTCTAATCACCTTCATGGGCAATGATTTAAAAAGGATAATCTGGGCTCTAGAGTGTTCCTTGCTATTGAGATGTCAGTTCTTCTAGACCCTTAGAGTAGACAGAGGTAGTGTGTATATATATATATATACACACACATATATATATCACTGAGAAATATAGAAATATGTCATGACTTCTAACAAAATATCCAATTGAAGTGAAATATTACAGAAATTTTATCTGCTGTCTTTCATACTTACCCTTTTCATCTTTAATTTTGTTAACTTCGTCTTCAACAACTATTTCTTTAAAATTTAAATCTTGTTTTATGTCTTCCTATATTCTGAAAATCTAGGAATATTCTTGAAAATGTTAAAATCGAAATGCCATGCACCGAATTCTCCCAGCTCTAGTATTTACAATTTAAAAATTCAAAAACACTAATCATGGGTGAAAATACTAACCAAAAAGAAGAAATGCTGCATTTGCAATAATTTTCATGGGCCTAGAGGGAATTGAGGTAGGTGGAAATAGCTAGACAAAGACAAATATCGTGCAAGTTTACCTGTGTGGCATATGCAGAGAACAAACAGATGGACTCAAGAACGCAAAAATCAACTTTGGGACATAGGACAATTAGTGGTACCTGAAGAGACAGAGGCAGAGGGGTTAAGTCAGGAAAATGGGGACAATGGTGTGCTGAAGGGCAGATTGTTAGTTGACAAAGACAAAGTAGTATTTACACATGTTGATTGTCAGCAATAAATACCAAGGTCATAATGAAATGTTAGACTTCAAATAAAAGATAAAAAATATAAAACAAAAACAAAAGAAGTAGAAGATGTTATACTTAGCCATTTGCAATGATTCTTTGTGTGACTTTGCCAGCAATTAATATAAAATTGCAACTTTTTTCTTTCCACTTGCTTTACATTTTGATAGTGTGAAGTTTTTAATTTTTAAAATAATAAACAATTTGCAAAGGATTTTACAGCCAAAATTGTAAAACAGAGTATGTTCAGCAATCCTGGCTCTCTCCCTCTCCTGCATGGTCTTACCCCAACTCTGCAGACAGCATTTTGAAAATGAACTTTGACTCCCCATTCCACTGATAAGAAAATACAAGTATATATGCAAGGTACTCATACTTCCATGTTGCTGTGAATGGCATGAGTTTATCTTTTTTGATTGCTGAATAGTAGTCTATTGTGTCTATGCACCACATCTTTTTGAATTTGGGCTGTTTCTAAGTTTTACCTATTATAAATAGTGCTGCAATAAACATAGGGCTGCAGATATCTTTTGAATTAAAATTTTTGTGAGCCTGTTATAGGACAGGGAGAGGGGCAGCCCAAACCCCACAAACCTGCCTATTCTAAATGGGTTCTGCCATCCGCCGCATCAACACAAAACATAGGAGACTTTAATGGGAAGGAACTTTAATACAATTTGGAAACAATACAAGAAAGGCAAAGAATCTAGTTTCTAAATGAAGCACCCAAAGTTACCCGTCCCCTCGTGGGTAAAAGTCCATCCATATGGGAATGGCCCAGAACAAGGCCCCAAAGCCTGCCCCAAGTCTAAAGCATCTTTCAGTGGGGACCCACAGCAAAGGGTCAGAAACAACCAGACAAGCCCAGAAGGAAAAGAGCAAAATCAACATCAAGATAAAAGCTGCCATTGTCACCTCCCCACGGGTCTCACCCACATCTGTGTCACCCAGTCCACGACAAAAAGACAAGCGCAGTTTCTTCACGTGTCTCTAGGCTCCATGCGCCTCCTCCAGGTCTCCTGGCTCCATCCAGCTTCCTTCCTCAGTCTCTTCTGCAGCTTCTCCTCTTCCTGCTCAGCTCCACCCTCCCTTGGGTGAGGCAGGGAACCTCCCCCTTTCCTGGGGACCACCCTGTTGCAAGCCCAAGGACCCAGTCACACATGAACTATCACCATGGTCCCTTAGGCTCTTCCCACCTGTTTTCATCCTACTCCCTTCTTCCCCCCTGCAGTATGTCTCTCATTTTGAGTTTTACTTTATTATAGTTTTTTTTTTCCTGATCCCTTATTTGGATCCTCTCCATTCCTTCTATAAGTGAGCCCATCTCCGGTGCACTGCTGGTGGGAGTGCAGACTGGTGCAAACACCACGGTAAGCTATATGGAGATTTCTCAAACTATAAAAATGGAGCATCCGTACTATCCAGCAATTCCACTCCTAGGGACCTACCCAAAGGACACAAAAACATTAATTCAAAAGGACATCTGCACCCCTATGTTTATAGCAGCACTATTTACAATAGGTAAGCTATGGAAACAACCCAAATGCCCAAAAACAGATGACTGGATCAAGAAGATGTGGTATATATGCACAATGGAATATTACTCAGCAATCAAAAAAAAGTAAATTCATGCCTGCGGCAGGCTGCACCTCCCATGCTATCTCTTGACATGGTCCGGGCATTGGGGGGAGACTCCCGAGAAGCGGGGAGTTCCTGTGCTCCCCTGAAGAGGAAAAGTTGTACTTTACAGAAGAGAGGAGTTCTTGCACTTCCCAAAGAAGATCTGAACTAGGGAGTCTCCATGGCAACGCCTGCTAAAGCTCTCCTCTTTGTTCTTGGTTAATGCAGAAGTTAGTCATTAATTGGCATATGAAAACCCAATTCGGATCTAGACGTTAATTGATTTGTTATCTTACACCTGAATTAGTATCAAAGAAAGTAAAAAAACGCAAAAGCTATAGCTAGGAAAGAAATGTTCTGGCCCTGAGAACTTTGGAGAACAAGCTGCCCTGAACCAGCTGTGCTTGGAAGCCATAGCCTGACACGGGGGATGCATGTTTGCACCAGCAGTACATTTCCTGGTGTTTGCAAGAGGTCAATAGTTCGCAGGCCGTGTGGAGGTTAGGAATTTCTAGTTAAGAGTTAGACTTCAGTAGAACTTACATAGATTTGATGAGTTGTTTTAGACCACTTTGAAGTAATTAATATATTAACCAAGTTAATTGAGTGCTAGGAGATAGACTGATTTTAGTAATAGAATATAGAATAGGAATTTTACACCCACTTTGTAATTGAGAAAGTTTAATTGTTGCCAAATGTTGTGCTGTCTTGTATGATTGATCATGCTAGTAAATGAGCTGCACCTAGGAAACTAATTGTTCTTAGGTGAGCAAAGAAATGGCCTACAGGTGTAAGGCCAAGGGAGTCTTTACACGATCATGAGAAAATATGTATTGATTGTCTTTGCTCTGCTTCAATGCTTACTCTGATGTAATCCCACCACTAGCCTTAAGGTATAAATAAAGACCCGCTGAGACCCTCAGCAGGAGATACTTGCATGAAAAAAGGTGTCTGTGTCTACCTCACTCCTATCTCACTCCACTTCCCCTCAGCCCTCCGAGAAAGAGAAAAAAACTTCACGGACTCCGTTCTCTCCTTTCTGTGATCCCTGACACGACTTCTAGCTGGAGCTGGTCTCCAGCACAAGTCATTTGCAGCAACATGGATGGAGCTGGAAGGGATCATGCTTAGTGAAATAAGCCAGAAAGAAATAAAAAAATTAGCTTTCTTTTCGAGGGCCAGCAGAGCAGTGCTGTGTGGGTGGGGAGTATACCAAACAACTGGATGTGGATATTTATGAAATGCTTCCTTTTTCCGGGTGCCGGTGCTCCAAAGTCCTGAGAGAATGCTGAGCTCAGGGACGCAAGCTATAGCAAATGGATAGGCTCCAAACCCAAGGGAGCTTCAGAGAAAACTGGAGATTCCTGAGCTACCTCATAGAATCACTGCAACAACAATTATGTTCCCAAATATCTGTTGGGAGTCCATTATGTACCAGGCACAGATACAATGAAGTCATAAACATAAAATCCTTATTTCATGAAGACTGAAATCTAATAAAATGGGTTTATTTGGTCTCTCATAGCAGGAGTTCAGAAAACCTAAACAAGGGACCAGGAAAAAGAATAACTACAATAAAGAAAAAATGAAAATCAACAAGCAACTATAAACCAGAGA